AATCCATAGACTAAGTCGTAAGGGCTCTTACCGTTTAAAAGAGAGGTAGGAGTTCTACTTATCAGATATGTAGCAGTTAACACACATTCACTCCACATATTAAGAGAGACTCCAACCTGAAACATGAGAGCCCTATAAACGTTAAGCAAATGTCTATGTTTACGTTCAACTACCCCATTTTGCTGAGGTGTGTACACACAGGTAGTTTGATGAATAATTCCTTTGGTTTCAAAAAATAGACTCAATCTTTGATTAACAAACTCAGTTCCGTTATCACTTCTACAGGTTTTTTACTGATTTTCCAAACTGAGTAAAAAGAAAGTTACAAAAGGTTTCAACATATTCACAAACCTCATGTTTATTTTTCAAAAGATAGACCCATACATCCCAAGTGTAGTCATCAACAATGGTTAAAAACTACCTATATCCTTCTCTACTCTGAACATTGTAAGGACCCCACACATCTAAATGGATAAGCTCACCAAGACATTTAGATTTGTGAATACTAGTTCCAAATTTCTCTCGCGTCTGCTTTGCCTTATGGCAAATCTCACAAGGGACACTAGTTTCATTTCCTATATTAAGTCTTGGTCAGCAGAGTGTCCAAGACGACTGTGCCAAAGTTGAGAAGAAATAAAACAAATCATACCATAACTGTTAAAGGAAAAAGGAACTTTAGTGCTAGAGTTCTCATCAAAAAAGGATAAACCTCCATTCTGACTACCAATCCCCATAATGTTCTTCTACAGACAGTCCTGGACATAGTATTTTGTCTCATCAAAAATTATACAGACCTTATTGTCTCTAGTTAACTTGTGGACAGACAGAAGATTAACATTAAATTCAGGGACAACAAGGACATCAAATAAAGTCACATTGCTGGATAGTTTCAAGTTTCCAATCTTATTTATCTTAGCTTTAGTACCATTCGGGTGAATAACTGTAAGATTTAAATCAGTAACGTCAACAATGTCTTCAAGATCTATAGGACTAGAGGTCATGTGTTGATTGGCTCCAGAATCTATTATCCAACCAGACTAAGAAGTTTTAAACATATCTGCCATATTGGCAGAGGCATCATCAGAATTGGTGGTAGTGTTGGTTTGATTGATAAGGCTCAAAATTTTTGCAACCTGCTCTTCAGAAAAACTACAAGAAGATTTTAAACAACCAGAGTCGGATGTAGAAGCATTTCCAGAAATGGGTCTGAGATTGGGAGTTTGATTTTGAAATTTGAAGTTTTGAAACTGATTCTGATTTTGAAACCTGGGTCGATTTTGAAAGAACTTTGGAAAACCTATCAGTTTAAAACAGCGTTCAATGGTATGACCAGTATTACCACAATGTTTGCAAATGATATTAGTAGGATTATTTTCTACTCGTCGTCTATTTTCAGAACTTTTACTTAGGAAAGCAGAATTTTGAGATTTAGTGCGATTTTGATTTAAATTTGCTCCCCTATGAGACTCCTCTCTAGAAACTAAAGAAAAAGTAGTTTTAACAGTAGGTAGAGGATCTCTAGTTAGGATGTTGCTCCTAATAGGTTGATATATGTCATCCAAACCCATGAGGAATTGCATGAGTTTAATGAGCTGGCTATGAGCCAAAAAATCATGCGATGCATTGCATGTACATGATGGCAGTTTTATAAGAGCATCAAATTGCTTCCACAGAGAATTTAGTTTATGGTAATATTCAGAGACTGTCATACTGTTTTGACTTAATGAGTTTATTTTCTGATAGAGATTAAAGGTAACTGAACCATTGACCTTGTCGTAGGTCTCTTTCAACTTTTCCCAGATTTGAGAAAAGATTTTAGAGAAGACTTGCCCAAGGAACAAGTCCTCAGTCATGGAACTCAAGATCCATGAAAGGACAACGGAGTTACAGCGATCCCACTGTTTCTGAAGAATGGGATCATTAACAGGACGAGAACAGAAGCCGTCAATAAAACCCAATTTATTTTTAGTTTCAAGAGCAAGCACCATAGCACATGACCACACTTTATAATTTTCAGTGCCACTAAGTTTAAAAGACATAATGGAGCCTCCACTCGTGTCGCTAGGATGTAAATATAATGGATCTCCAAAATCTAACTTTGCGATTATAGACTCCATTATACTTGACGTTCCAGCAACGGCAAGGGGTGATTCCATAAAAAAAACAGAACACACAAGGAACTGAAATGCTTAAAAGTAGGATTCCTAAAACACTTCAGAGTGCTAGGTCAAGCCAACAAGACAGTTCTCAACAAGATATAAAGCACACAAGAGCAAAGAAACCTTACCACAGAATCTCTTAACAGATTAAGAAACAGAATATTAAAAACAAGCAACCTGGTATCTTTTAACTTTTGTTAAAAGAAAAAGAGCAATTATCAGAGTGCAGATCCAAAATGTACCTGAACAGACAACAATTATTAAGGCAAACAAAATGTTAGATCTGATAAACAACAGATCATGACACAGAAGAGAGAAGCACCCAACTATACAAATATCGAGATTACAACAAGCAACACGAAGAATCGCTATAGATCAAAAAACGATCTAATAATTGGCTCAATCTTAAGCAGTTAAAAAAAACAGCCACAAATGAAAGAACAACCAGACAAAGATATGGAGTCAGACAGTGGCGCAAGCATGAGAAACCAGCTGTATAAAAAAAACAGAAGATGAACACTTCTTACAGCAAAACAGTATACAAAGAACAGCAGCATATCTATTTATTTCACAACAAGATCTGGATAAAAGACATAGATCACAATCGTAAAGAAACATCAGATCTGGAAATATGGACACAGATCTGGAACATAACCATGGATATGGAAAAGGGACGCAGATCCACAAAAGAAGAAAAAAAAACTGGAGAAACAAACATATGTGAATCAACAAAGATCTGGAAGAAGGACCAGATCTATAACAAGAAAAAAACAGCCAGATCTCGAAAGGGGACCAAAAAACAATGGATCCAACCCAATCGATCATTTCATTGTAAACGGTAATATCAAGATAAGATGAATCGGCGGATATCATGGTGTATTTGAAATGCAGATGTATAAACACCTAGTATTTTCAAAGAGGAACCATTCATTTATCGCCTTTTCGATTCAGAAAAAAAGGATGATGAACGTACCTTTCAGCTCTGATACCATGATAAAACTAACATATTCAAATGATTTATTGAAAATATCTTTGACAAACAGAAATATTAACATAAACAGTTTACAACATGAAAGTAAAGATCTAATCTCTCTAATAACAAGATATATCAACAAGAATGTAAAGGACTAACTCTCTATTTGATGAAGATCTAAGACAGATCCTTTTGAATGAGAGAGCACGAACTTCTTATTTGTGAGAGAAAAAATGATGAATCGAGAGAGAAAAGAGAGAAAGTTGTTCAAGATTGAGAATGATGATATGAGCTGGAACCAGGTATTCAAAGCTTTATATATGATATTCAACTCTCCAGGTTTGCCCCTTGAAGAAATGATATCCTTGCTCCGCTAACCTTTATTAATCCAGAAAAGTGAGGCGCGGTCCCTCTTGTTACTAGACAACAGCAACTTTGACTAATGTACACTTTCTACCCAAATCTGTTACAACAATAACAAACCAGGATATTCAAAATGAAGTTAGTCAACAGTAATAAGTCAAGATTGGAAAGAAGGAATATTCTTTTAACATATATTCAAATTCTTATTTTATTTAAAAAATAAAATCATTATTGCTTTCTTAAAAACACATAAAATCGTATTATAATCGTATTATAACACCGATGAAAACAAATAATAAAATAGAACATTAAAATCGAGATGTATCTTGCTGTATTGCACGAATACCCTTCTACTATATATATATATATATATATATATATATTCAAGGGAGAACTGATTAGTTTGTGGTAACTGTGAGATCCAATCTCAACCACAAATTAATGGATAAATTAAGAAATTAATAATTATGGTAATTTGAATTAAAATTATAATTAGAGGGCATTTTAGGTATTTTTTTTAAAACTCCTCTCTTCTCTCTCATCTCTCCGGCCTCCAATCTCCGGCCTCCGGTGAACATTAATCCGGCAGGTACCAAGTAATCATAAAGATACACAATGTCATACCCATTGTGATAAACTATGATACCATTGTGATACCAACTATGATACCAACTCAAACCTTAAAAACAAATATACACAATATGATACCCATTGTGATATAGTGTGATACCGATTTCACCGGAGGCCGGAGATTGGAGGTCGGAGAGAGGAGAGATGAGAGAGGAGTTTTTAGAAAAATACCTAATATGCCCTCTAATTATAATTTAAACTCAATATATATGGGCCCATTCAAGGGAGAACTGAGTAGTTTGTGGTAACCGTGAGATCCAATCTCAACCACAAATCAATAGATTAATTAGGAAATTTTTAATTTTGGTAATTTTTAATTAAAATTTTAATGGAATGACATTTTAAGTATTTTTTCTCCTCTCTCCGTCTCCGGGCCTCCATCCCCCGGCCTCCGGCCACCGTTCTCCGGTGATACCACAGTGGTATCACAATGCATCCTATATGTGATTGGGTATCACACTATAGTCATTTGTGCGGTCGATCGGATATGTAACATAGTGGTATCACAATGCATCTTATATGTGCTTGAGTATCACAGGAGAAAGGTGGCCAGAGGCCGGAAGACGGGGACGGAGAGAGAAGAGAAGAGAGGAGAGATGAGAGAAAATACCTAAAATGTTATTGCATTAAAATTTTAATTAAAAATTACCAAAATTATAAATTTCCTAATTTATCTATTAATTTGTAGTTGAGATTGGATCTCATGGTTACCATAAACTACTCAGTTCTCTCTTGAATCGACCAGTATATATATATATTATATATATCAACAAATCATCTTATAAATATATAATAAGGAAATCTAAATAAGTTTACAACAATATAACCCAAAATAAAAAATGCCCTAACAATCAAATGTTTTTCCAATTATTTACGAAACCAAATTAACTCAATATATCTCATTGACTTCAAAAGTAAATCTATATAAACTCCTTCTTTACTTCAAAAGATAAAAGAGTTGTTTTCATGAATAACTCCGACTTTTAAATTAATAAAATAAGAATTATTCACAAATAATTGCTTAGCTTGCTCCGTTTATGGCCATGGCCAAATTCCCAATTTTATCCTTCCTAGCAAAATCCTCTTTACGCCTACCATACCAAGTTGTATGCAATGAAACGAACCCAACAATTTTCGTCTTGTTTTCGTTCAAATTTATGGTGTCTTTTGTCGAAAATTCGTTTGTGGTTCGTTTGTAAGATCCGAACCATTTAGCTTGAACGTACTCACGCCGCCTCCATGGCGGCACCGCCATCTTCATTTGGTTCATTGATTTCTTGATAGCTTTGCATATGATCCTCACCGTCTCTTTCAATTCTTCAATAGTACAAACTGAAACTCGAGGGAGAATCTCGAGCACCGAAGTGTAGTTATCAGTCGGCCTAGCTATCTTGAATTCCTCTCGAAGAGATATAATGATTATGTAACGAATTCCTCCGACATTTACATCGACGTATTCGTAATCTCCGGCGAGAAGCCGCCCTTTCTTTTCCCACTTCGATTTGCAAAGACCTACATAGTTTTTTTTAGAAGTTTTCTACGGCAAGAACGATGGAATCCAACTAAAAACATTAAGGAAACGAAATCGAAATAGTACCGGCGTCGAGACCCTGATCACGCAGACGAGCCATCAGTTGACGTTTAACCGCCAACGATGGTGGCGAAGACCTATCTTCGGTCATGGCGTGCCATGCTTTCTCAACATCGAAAACCAATTTTTTTCTCACATCATCACCATATTCGAAGCGAAACAATCTGTTCAATGATTCCTTCATCTCCTCCAAATCCTCGTCAATTCCATCAAAAGTACAATATTCATCAGCAATTCTCGAATCAAATTCACTATCGACAAAGCCATTACCGTTCTCGATGAACGAATTAACCAAATCAGACAGATCCATCATCGTCTCCGGCGAGTGCTCGCTACCGCTGCTGTCGCAATCCCGTACCTTTGCCGCTACCTGATCAAACGCCTCCGCCATTCTCGGAAACCTCCCCATTTTCTAATATTCACCGATTTTTCAAAATTGATTGGTATAATCCGGTTGAGCTTTTGATTATATAACGATTAAATGTGAGAAGAATGTGCTTATTGAGGGAGAAGAAACAATGATGAAGGTCAAAGTATGTGTAAGGATGATGACACTATGGTGATATATATATATATATGTACCACGTACATAGACACACAGAGGACTAGTGTTCATAAGATGTCGATGAATGTGTACGTAATTTCATCCGGATTCAATCCGATTCGCATGATTTGAAATAAATCGCAATCATACCCACTATAAAATTAATATTTACGATCCATTTTTTTTTAATATTTATACTATCTTATTAAGCAAATTAATCAAAAGTCTTAAAGTCTTAAAATTCTAAATGACCAAGATATTCTTTTCACTTTTTCATCCCTTCCTCTCCTCAGATAAACTCACCCCCTCACATACATTTACCTCTCACATTCAACGGATTTTTTTTTAAATTATAATTTTAAATTTACATTATATATCCTTATAATTAGTTAATTAATTGTTTTACGTCCTTTACTTTTAAATGTTTCATTTTAAACCTTTATCAAATTAACATACATAATCGTATATTAAATAAAACATGTTTAAAAAATATATTTTTATTTTAACAAGTTACACTATTATAATCGTCTCGTTAATACCTTCGAAATGAGTCCAATATTGAATAGTTTTTGACTTAGTTATATTATTATATATACTATGAAAAAATATTTTTAATGTTTACGATTTATACTTTTATAGTTATTTATTTATATATATGATATACATTTTGGGATTAGGCTGTCCAAATTGCACTGTATAATATGTTATTGGGTTTTTTTTTAAATATATATACATGTATTAATTCAATCTTAATCTGAGCTTCTGGACAAGAAAGAGGGTAAGCAGTTGAAATTTCATTCTAAAACCCATCTTTTTTGGTTTTTTCATAGCTTATGATCTGTCAAATTTGTAGTTTTCTTTATTGGTTTTGAGTGTTTATCTTAAAACTCAAGTTTTTTGGTTCGTTGCTCTTGGTGTAAATCGAACCCATTTGTGGAGTCGTTTAAATATGTTGAATTTTAAATATATTGGATTTTAAACTGTCATACAATTTTTTTATCAATAATCTGTAATTAGAACCATAACTCTTATTTATTCAAATTGTATTAATATGTAAAGATCAAGTGTAACCTATATCATCGTTAAATCTTATCTTATAAAACCAGTAAAACTTCAAAATCATTAAAATTCATGGCTCCCGCCGCATTGCGCGGGTACACAACTAGTATAATATTTATATACAACAAATGTGACAAATAAATTTACACGTTCTTTTTATATTTGATGAGATTTAAACATCTGATCTTCTAAAAGATCAAAGATTACGATACCGCTAGATCAAAAACACTTTTGTTCCATTTTCTATTTAAAGGGTAATTAATAATAATAACATTTTGTTTTGTTTCATAATTAAATTAACCGGCTTTTCAACTAAATTTGATTATTTTTCATGTAATCTAATTGATGTAGTTATGAAAATATATCATAATATTGTGGACAAGAAACGTATTATAGATTTGTGATAAAAATGAGAAAGAAAATTCTTGAACCTTATTTTTTAGAGATGTATTGTTGTATACACTAAAATTGAGTTATTAAAATTAATTTCTCAAAATAAAAAAATTGATATAATTTACCATTTCTAGAAGATATTAATTCTGGTATCAGAAAAAAAATTATTCAATAAACATTTATCGGTAAAATTCAACATTATTACTTATTTACGGAGTAAGATTTTACTCCACCAAAACGACATTGTATAGCAATGATTTTCCCTGTAAGCGCTAACCGTGGTAAGAGTCGTCGCACTCACTTACCGGGTAAGACTCTTGGTCTTTGTCTTACTCTTACCGTGTAAAATTTCGTGTCCTTATTATATTCATCCGACAAGGTAATGTGACTTGGTAAGCACTTATTCGGACAAGTTATCTCTTAACCTTTCCAGTGTTGCATTGATAGCCTCGTTATGTCTTTTAGTTGTTTTTTTTCCCAATTTGGGGGGGCTTGAGATTTTATCAAATGACGGACACACCAAAGTTTTCTTAAAGAAAGTAAGGGAGAAGACTTGAAGCTTTCAAGAGATGTTTGCTTTATAAAACTTTGGTGGAAGACACGGCCAGCCTGAGATTTTGGATGCCTACGGCGGAAAGTAAAAAAAATGTCCCTTATACGTGTAAATAAAAACCAAAATAAACTATTTGAAGGGTTTTGAAACCTAGTCAATCTAACAAAAAAATGCCCCTTAAATATAACAAAATGATGCAACGGGGGGACATAAACCAAAACCCCCTGTAATAAAAGATAAAGTACATCATCATTCACCTAAACCGATGTCTTCTTGCATTTTTTGAAGCAAAAATATCTATCACTTCGTCATAACTAATATTAGCTAAAAACTTACTTTCAATACTCAAAATTGCTAACCCGTTCAATCTTTCTTGACTCATGATAGACCGTAGATATGACTTCAACAACTTTAACTTTGAAAAACTTTTTTCCGCAGATGCTACGGTGACCGGTACGGTCAATAGTATCTTGTAAGCAAGCAAGACATGTGGAAACATGTCCATTTTCTTTGCGAACTCCATAATTTGTATCGATGTCCAAGGATTTGCACTTTTAGATGCCTCTTCTGGTAGTATTCCCTGCAAAACTTGTAACTCCATAAACAAATATTCGTCATCAATATCAGAATCATTATCATTTGTTAAAGCAAGTTCAAAGTTCAAACAACATTTTTTTTAACTCGTCATCATGTAAAGTAACCAAATTTCACCCATCAAACAAGAAGCCAAACATAGATTCAAATTCTTGCATTCGTTCAAATCTGGTTCGTAACTGCAAAAGAGTCATATCAACTAAAACAAGAAAATAATCAGTTCTAAATGTCTCTTAAGCGGATTGTTGTTCTCTCTCCATATTTGGAATTTCATCAAATTGTTTTTCCTTGAGAAAAAATGTTTTACAACAAACTCAGGTTCAATTCCAATATTACTTGCAATCTTTTTAGCTTCACGAATGGCACATGTAAACCCACTTTCCCTATATTTTTCAAAATATTCAACTAATCTCTTTAGATTTTGTGTTGCAACATCAAGAAGCATATCTTTAGACTGTAATTTCTTGCTAACTAAATTAATTCTATACAGAATTTCATGCCAAATAACCAAACTTACAATAAACTCAAAACTTGAAAGCTCACCATTAACCAAAGACTCGGCTTCCCTACACACTCTTCCATCCTCACTCACTTGAGCCAATTGTACTAAAGCATTTCTAATTTGGCCAACTTGAGTTTTGATAGCGTTAACACTTTCAATATGACTTTTCCATCGAGTAGCAGATAAAGATTTCAAAGTCAAATCATCAATATATTCTAATAAAACAGTTCATCTCTTTGTATTAGAGCCATTGTCATACATTTGTCCCGCACATAATTGATATCCAAATCAAGTGATTTCAAAACATCTTGTAATACATTAAGAAGTCCTAAACCAGATGTATCTTCTACCACCAAAAACTCTAAAAAGAACTCTTCTACTTGTATAGGAGATCTAGACACGTCAACACATCTTAAAATCAAAGTCATTTGTTCTTGATGACTTGCATCCGGAGTGCAATCAAGAAAAACTGAAAAATATTTTGCCTCTTTGATCTTTTTTAATGATTGCACTCTTAACATTAGATGCCAACATGTCAATCATTCATTTTGAATTTTGTGGCTAAGATAATGATAATGAGTTTTTTTTTCTTTAATACGCTGAAAGTGTTGTTTCATAACCGGATCAAACTTAGCAATCATTTCAATTAAGCCCAAGAAGTTACCATTAGATTCTTCAAAAAGTTTTCCATTTTTCCCACGAAAAGCTATATTATTCTTTGCTAGACATTTAACAACAGCAATTATTCTAACCAAAACTTCTTTCCAATGATCAGTATCCTTTTTTATTAAATATTGTAGCTCTTTATCAAGTGTTTCATTTTTACTCAATCGCAACTCGGACCAAATTCCCAAGCTAGTCGTATGCTCAATGATATTTTCATGAGCGCTCAATCCTTGACCAAGATGTTTCCAATCACTTAATCCAACACTTGCTAATTGGCTTTTTGACCGGTCTTCTTTGAAAAGTTTGCAACAAAAACAAAAGACTTTATCTAGCTCTTTTGAATAAACTAACCACTTTCTATCATGACAATCACCATTGCGTAACTTACGAACATARAATTCATCAGAGAAGTGTCTACCTATATTATCTCTAGGGAAATTGATGTTACTTTCCCTAATATGCCCTTTTTCAACAAACAAATCTTTCATTTTACAATTTAGCATATCCCAAATTTTTGGATCAAATATATTCAAACGAACATCACTAGAAGCATTTGTATCACAAGCATTTTCATCATCACAAGCACAAACATTTTCATCACTAACATTTTCATTTACATCAAAAGCATTTGTATCACAAGCATTTTCATTTTTATCACTAGTATTTTCATCACAAACATTTGCATCACAAGTAATTTCATTTTTATCACTACCATTTGCATCACAAGCATTTTCATTTTTATCACTAGCATTTTCAGAAACATTTGATTGTCTAACAATAAATATATTTAGAGATCCTTGCAATGATTGAGCAATTTCCTCTTGCCTTTTCTTTCTTTTCCTATTTTGAGCACCCGATGGTTGTGATCGAGGCAACATAACTTAAGTAGTTAAATTGTTAAACAAATATACGATATAAGGAATAGAAAGATAACACCTGGATTTGGTACTTCGTGGTTTGTGTTGTGAAATTGCCAAGAAAGTGGAACTATTAAGCAACCTGGACAAATTGATAAACGAGAAAACATAAGCATATGTAAAACAGTTAAACAACCCTAACCCCTAAGTTAAAGTATTAAACATAAGATTAAGCATATGTAAAAGTTAAAACATTAACAAATGGTTGTCATTGGTTTCTAAAATTTAATTTTGTGGTTTCACTGGTTTGTAACAAGTGAAACAAAAACATTTAGTGAGTCAAACAAATTAAAATAGTCCAACAAAGCAAGTCACACCTCACCAATTTCACAGAATCAGTGAATCACATCTAAGCTAGTTTCATAACTTCATTATTAAGTTTCCAATCAAACAAAATTAAAAACTTAAAAAATAAAATAAGTAATATAATAACCCTAACTCTCTAAGTAACTAAGTTAAAGACTTAAATGTTAAATGAATCCCTAACCTCAACACAAGTCAGTGGTCACATTCACAAAGAGAGAGGGGCAGAGGGCGACGGGCGTTGGCCGACGAGGCGATTGGTAAAGCCACGAAGGGCGGAGCCGCGGAGGCCGGAGAGCGAGAGTGGGAGTCGGGAGGCAGTCAGGCAGAGAGGGATAGGCCGATAGCGACCGCCGACCGGCGACGAAAGCGAGAGCGATTTCGATTTCTATTAGGAGTGAACGAGTCGACAATGACAGAGCGAAGCGAGAGTCGAGACCGGAGGATGATGGTTGACGCCTTGATGGACATGGACTGGTAAGTGCCTAAGTGGTAACGGACTAAGGTAGGCTAACGGTGATATTTTTAGGCCCAAATAAAACTGAACCTATATACATATACATTGGGCTTTAGGATTTTTGATGCCCTTGGGCTTTATGCTGCCTTGGGTTGTCGCCCCTTGGGCCTATGGCCAGGGCCGGCCCTGGGGGAAGATTGTTTGGACATAAATAGTCCTAAGTTTAGAAAGTTTTATAAAGGTTTTTTTTGTTGTATTGTATTGTAATATTCATTGTATTGGGGTTAAGGGCTATTGGGCTTTCAATGTAAATGTCACCTATAAATAGGGACATGAAGCTTATATTAGATGTTAATCATTCCTTCAATCATTCTTGTAATTCAATGAGAGTCGTGTAAGAGAGATTTAGAGTTTTTAGTCTGCTTTCCAATAAAATAAGTTGGTCAGATTCTTCATCTTGTTCTTCAATCTCTCAATTTCATATGAATTGTTCTTGATTTGTTGTTGAACCTGGGACTCACAATTTTAAATCATTTCTTGAATTATCAGAGGGTCAGAATAGAGTAAAAAGAATAACAAAATTCTGCTCCAACTATTTCTAAGTCGGGCAACCACATTTACTGATTGGTTCAAAATTCTTTCGTGACCTTCCTTGAAAAAGATAGTGAGCTCACACCAACTCTTGTTTTAACTCCATCAGTTACTCATCTCTTTCTCAACGAAGTGATGTTTACATTTTTCACAGGGATGCAACATATAATCTATTTATCTCTAAAAATCCAAAGAAAAGAGAGATAAATAAAAATTTTTATTCATCCTACCAACAAGGATTAAATTAATATCATTTTATATATATTTTTAAAAATATCTTGAGCTTATAAAATTAAAAAATATTTAAATAATATAATTAAGAATGAAATCTCTAAAATAGAGAA